GTGCATTAACAAAGCATTATCACGCGATATTTCGTAGCATTTTATATACCATGAACATTCCAGAATAATTATACGAATACCGACTTTAACTAATTTTTCGGTATTATCGTAAACCATTTCCATAATGCAACAAAATATTGGCTAGCTTTAATCCTACAATCATGATCAGTTAGTATTTATACTATTTCAAAGAAACAGCAGGAAGACGGCTTGTGGTATGGTGTTGTTAAGGCTACATGTTGCATAGGTATGTATGTTATCAAGGTTACATGATTTTTAGGATAAACAATATAAAACAAAACCATGAACTGAATGAGGTCTTATAGTCGTGGAGAACTCAGGAAGACTGTAAATCAGTAATAAAAAGAATGATAACGACGATGTTAGATTCATACAAGGCGCGCGTAATTGCTCAAATGAATGGAGCCAGAGACCGATCTAAATGGACATGTGCACCTCCCCCACTTTGCACTATATCACTTCCAAAAATATCATAAATATCGATCAAAAAATCATTAAAAACACCAGAAAAATCTTCCCATGCAGTGAGAACGATTTCTAAGAAGAAAAGGGAACCTTCGCGTATATTCACACTGAGGATGAGGGAAATTTTTAATATTAATAATCGTATCTAAATTTGGCGCTCTCTTCCCGCCGTGGTTTTGTAAACGTGAAATATTGGATTGTTCAAATTTTTTACTACTCAAGTGTGTTGTTTTTATACAGCTTCGTTGTTATACAAAGACGAATCTAATAATTGTGTTTTGGTTTTTAATTCATTTTATTGTAGCCACGGGATTCAGTTGACGATTTGTTTCCCATTTTCATGTGTTTTTCTCAAACGTTTTTTCGAATTTGACTTGGCAATCGCTATTACCACTAGAATTGATTGCCAGGCTAATTATGCTTTAAACTTGCATTTCGCAAATAATACAGAACTTCAGCTTTCTGTCAAAACTAAATCGTTGAGTATTTTTCATCCAAATTATTCAGGTAAGATTTATTGTGACCTTTTGTCTGTGGCAATCAGCTCCACAATTAAAGTATTAAAATATTTGATACTTTTTGAGTTATCGCGCTGTTATAGACAAAGACACACTCGTGGACAATGTCATAAATGGCTAAAAAGGTTTAACAATTAATAAGTGTCTAGGAATAATCGTATTATTTACATTTACTGCAGGAATATTATTACCGTTATAACAATATAATAATAAACGTAAAGGGAATTGAAGACGACTTATCTTCGCTTTCACTCGCTGACTCACAAGCCGCTGCAGGGCCGGCGCTAGAGGGTGTGTGTGTGTGTGAGGGGGGGGGGATGGGGAGGGGGGACACCCGCCAGTCATCAGGTAGTCGGCAAAATATTGAATCCCGGTTGGCAAAATATGGATTTGGATAGAAAGGAAAAAATAAAATAGTTGAGTGACACCGATTAAAAATTAAAACTAGGAAAAAATGAACTACGAACAATGGTGGCTAAACGCAAAATAAGATGGCCAAATAGCCTATGTTGTCCGGAAATTTTATATGTTGCCCCCCCCTCTTCCCGCAACAATTTTGGGAAAAGAAATATTAATTAGTGGTTGTAGTGACTCGGAAAAGTCTGCCTTGATAACTCGGCAAAATTCACTTACATGCACCCCCCCCCCCACCATTCATATATATATATATGGTCCTTCACCTTGTTCTAGTAAAAACTTTACCAGTATGAACTATACATTAAACACATCAAAAATCTACGATACATTACGATACAAGAGTAGAAGGTCCAAACGGACAAAATTAGGCCCCCTTTACACCGTATATTTTAATTTCTTAATATTAAGTCAATATTTATAATATATGCACCCTGTCAATATTTTACGCATCTTTGAGTTCAGCTTACTGCTAGGGCATTCAAATTCTAACAATACGTTATTTCAACAGTTTTGATTTTTTGGGACAGCCTGTCCCACAACTATTGAAATAAAGTATTGTTAGAATTTGAATGCCTCGGCACTTTGCTGAACACACAAGTGCATCAAAGCTCGACATAAATAAATTTTATGCATAAAGAAACTGTTTAATTAAGAAGCTGCTTTAAATCCCCGAGAGCAGAAAATCGTGCGCTTTACAAAGATATTTTAATAATTTTTTAATAAGTCAATATTTAATATATGCACCCTGTCAATATTTTACACGTCTTCGCGTTCTGCTTAGTGTTAGCACATTCAAATTTTAAAGTGCCTGTGACACGAAATTTCAGCCCAAAGCTTTATGGTTGTATTGTATTGTAAAGATCACTTAAAGTGACTTAATAATTTCTTTTATAGAATTTTGGTAACTTTCTCCCTTTTCAAGTTGTTCAACTTTGTTTCATATGCAAATATCACCGGTGTGACATCACATCACATCACATAATGAAGTGAAGTTACTCCCTGCTCCTTAGTAATGTTGTTTACAGCTTTATGTTACGTGGATGCAAGCTTTACAATATTTTAACCGGCGTTTGGAAATATATCCGTGATGGTATATCATTTAGAAGAATTGGTAATAATCGAGAACAAATAGGAATCGAAGATTCTGACGCTTTGTTGCCGATATCCACGGAGTAATTGGTATGTAATTGTTAAACCATTTTCTCGTTTGATATGCTAGCCAGTCGTTGTAATATATCTTTACAGCAAGATGCTTTACTTAATACAGTTCCCTAAGAAGTGTACATCCAATAGCTCTTTTTAGAACTTACGTGGCTCTCAGTAATTATAATAAGGCCTGTGGTTGCTACACCCGCCTAATAATTGCTCATGAGCAATTTCAGGTAGATTTCCAGTAGATTTTTTAGGTAAATTCAGGTAATTCTCAGGGCATAAAAAAGTGAACTCTATGCTCTGAATCAGAAATAGAGTTAACAGTCGACCAACTAAAGACGTTGAGACGTGTCGTGGCAGGGGGCATGGCCAAATACCCTTTCTCGCGTCTGGAGACTCCGAATTTCCAAAATTTTCTCAATTTTCGTAGTTACAGTAAAATGTAAGTAGCAATACTTATCTTCATTGTTCGGCAATACTAAAATATTGAAATTGGGTAGGAAAGACCCTAAAATTGCCATTTCCGACGGTGTACAGATTTCAAATCTTCAAACAATTTTGCTCGGCCCAACCATGATGGCGCCTCGCAGGCGTCGCAAAATCAGGTAAAAACGTTATGTTGGAAAAATTCAGGTAAATCTAACCTCACACCCCCCAAAGGCGAAGTCCTGGCAACGGCCCTGTGCATTATTGTAGTCAGTGGCGTAGCCAGGGTTTACAATTTTGGGGCAGTTTGAGCGTCGAAAGCGCGAATACTAGGGGGCTCCTACATGCTCCCCCGGGAAAATTTTGAAATTCAGAACCTCTGAAACGCCACTTCGTATGCAAATCATATTCCCAAACATTAATTATCAGGACGCACTAAAAAACTGTAACTTATGTTCTTCATACGAACGAAGAGAATACCTAACGAATAAACTTTTTGAAGAAATATGTTCTGATCCCAACCATAAACTGCATATATCTGGTGCCGAAACTAAACGAAACCGATACTAACGAATAGACGCATGTTTAATTCTCCTGCATGCAAAACAGACAGACTAAAAAATAGTTTTATATTTAGTAATTGAAGTAGGAAAACCTAGTAATTCAAGTTGTAATCCTAGTTTATATAGTTGTTGGATATTACATGTAAAATTAGTTTATTACCATTTTAATCACTTTTAACTTTTATATTATGTAAATTTATATACAATTCAGCCATTTTGGCTGCAACTGCAATGATATATCTAAAAAAACTATTTATCTATCTATTTGCCCGTCCATTTTCCTCCAGATGTCGTCGCGTCAACAAACATATAATTTGATATACTGTACGGCCAGGATACAGCCTACCATCCTTGTCGCAAACTTCTTGAACAAATTTGATAAGCCATGCAGAAGTTTAATGTTTCCACAGTCATTGAAAACAAACTTGTGTCCAAATTTTGCAAGCCCTTCAGATCTAAGCCGAAAGGGTTGTTCTCGCACATATAACTGCTTCATTTTCTCGTCCATTTTGCCATTCTTCAAATACACGAACTGCCCAACGATTTTTATAACGCGCACTTTGCAGAACAACATTTCTGATGGTATCAATGCTGGTCTCGACGCTTCGCGACTCTCGATCGCGAAATCGCGCCTTTTCACTTGGATTTAGAAACCACGTCTAAAACACTAACTCGGATTTGAAATGTTCCTTCTATACGGAATCATTTGCATAAGTTCGCTTCAATATAGAAGGTATTGTCAATATTTAAATTTTAAAAACTATATAAGTACCCCGATCCTATCACTATCTGTGCGCCTGTAAACGCTATGAGAATACTTTATGTAAACATTTTATATATCGCCTGGGGACGAGGCATCATATGTTGGGTAAATTGTTGATCTAAAGTTGTATCAGCATAATGTTTTACAAATGGCTCATGAAGTTGTCTTGCATTTCTTAGACGTTCCAATCTTTTAACTTTATTTCCAAGTGTCAGGAATGACGTGCAAAATTGTAAATATTGCAAAAAATAATCAGAAATTGAAGTTAACTTCTGTAATTGAGGTTGGAAAAAACTGCGAACGAATAGCAATTGTTAATTAACCCACTACACTTTCGTTTTCTTACTGACTAATTTTCGAAACGTATTAGAAAAATATTCATTTTTATTCAAGAAGTGTAAAATTACGTTGAATTTTCTATACGTGATTAATTAGCAACGTGTTCGATTATTGATTATTAATTATTAATACGTGTTTGATTAGATTCATCGATTATTATATACGTCATCGATTATTATAGAGGTAATTGATTTTTGATTATATATGTCATTGATTAATTATTGATTGATGATTATCTTCGTTATTGATTATTATATACGTCATCGATTATTGATTATTGATTATTATATATGCCATCGATTATTATATATGTCATAGCGACGACCTTTATTGAGGTCAGGGGTCAGGTTTTGAACGGACATAAACACTGACGTCGTGATATTCAGTAGTATTACCAGCCACAACACCATGCACGCTGCCATAACCTTGTCCAGCAACCTTTATACCCACACCGATGGCTTGTGGTCCTGAAGGTGTACATCCTGTTCCTATAAATGAAATTAAACTTTGAAATTAGAATTGATTTGTGCACACACTAGAATGCAGATTTCATGCAGCTGCTTGCCGTACAATTAAGGCTGTAGTAACTGCGGAAGAGGTTGCCACGAAACAACGAAACCATTTCCGATCAAAAGATGCGTCGCGTATTTGCGATGAAGAGCATTCAGGATTTACGATGTTTGTTTGATTTTGGAAACACGAATTTCGTCATGTTACAGGTCGTGCCACTAAATCTTTTGCAGGCATTTTCAAGACGGGAGAAAATTTTATGTTGCCTTCGCAACAAATATAGAAATGTTACTATTTTTTCAAACTTAGCCTTAGCTAGTGGTGAAGCTCGTCAGATGCCATTTTGAACGAATTTTATTTTGCTTTGTTTTTTTAACAATTTTTGTGGTGACTTGGGGTACAAATTTATTTTACATGCATATCGCACGCCTGCTTGTGTGGGAGCGTGGTAATTACTATGTTTCGCGCATGCTCAAAGAAAATTCCCACCAGTTTATATTAGATAGCTGTCTCCTACCTGGGTTGTCAAGGTTGACAATTCCTATGCGAGCCTGAATATAATTCGGATCGCCAACGTTGAAACCAGTTTCATAACAATTTTCCTCGAAGGCTGGATCTGCGATGCCATCTTCCAAAGCATCATTCCACAGGTCTTTGGATATATTTAATGTGTTCTTTTGAAAAAATAAACTGAGAAGTGATGGAGCCTGGACATTATTAACGGAAAATCGAATACTAAAAGCGTCCGAAGTCAAGCATACTTCCGTAACGTTAGCACTCCAGAACTGTGAATTGAAGTTGGTCTGGTCATTTCCTTTTGCAGTCCAAATTGCAGAGTCGTAGCTTGTATTATCCTAAGACAATGAAAAGTTATAGCATTTGAGTCAGACCGAATCCCGCCCTAAATACCCAATGACCTTGCCCTAAAATTAATGTTTCATTTTTAGTTGGTACGTAGATGTACAAACTTGGTAAAGCAACAATGCTCGGCAATTGATGTGGGCTTAATCCAGCCATATTGAAGAGAAAATAAATGAAGAAAAACATGAATGTATTTAGATCGCTGATATATTCAATAACCAAGAAAAGAAAAAAAAACCTATAGACGTGCATGACTAAAGTGAGGGAAGCGCGAACGCTAACGCACGAATGAAAGCAATATGATGAAAATTGTCGGCAAAATGCTTGGTATATTTTTCTTTGACTGGTACCATAGCTCTAGGTCAGAAATTACGTCTTTTCACTGTCATAGTTGCTCGATATCATTAGGTGAATTTTAATTAGTAGCTAAAAAGAAAGAAAAACGAATTTTCATTTATTTAATGACAGCATATCCGGCAGGTTTTTCAGTGAAAAAATAAGGATGACGTTTTTTCCACCTAAGATGCATTGTATGTCTTACCGCGACTGAACGACGCAAGTATTGCCCAAACTGAAAATCATATTTGGGTTTAGTGGCACTTTGATGCCCGCCCGAGGCGTCTTCTAATATATATAAATTTACTTACGGTGGAATTGTCCCCTTTCAATACTCCAATGAGCGTCCATCCACTTCCTGTACATCCGGATTTAATATATCTCCCACCGGCACTGTGGCATTCTGTTACTTCAAAACCAATGGTGGTTCTTGATTTGATTAAATAACGTCCATCCGTACTATTTTCCCTATAAACATGAACAAAGCCAAAATAAACACCCGTCGCCGCTTACAGACCAGCATGTTTTCTATGACCGCAAGTTTTCATATGACTAGTTAATTTATTTGCATGCACGTGTGTATATAGGCAACTTAGCATAAATTAGTAAGCTATCCGACATCTTGGATTGTTGTGGATATGCATGTCACGTATTATACGAGCAGGGTCGAGTAAATATTTTACCCGGATAACTATGATCATTATTAGCCGAAAATTATGCCTTGGTTATTATTTAAAAAATATATAAGTTCTTATTTCGTCACCTAAGACGTAGTTTCATACGCCAACCCTGTTTTTTCGTCACTCAGACAGTAGCAAAACCACAATAATGTGATGAAACATTTCCCCACGAATCACTGTGTTCAGAGAATAAATTTTACTTTCAAATGAAACAAACTAAATTTTCATCGCCATATATTTCAAACATACACAAAATATTTGTTTTTTATCAAATATTTTGATCCAAAATGATACTCGAGTCTCGCTAAACTGTCCTTTACAAGAATTTAAGGCTCTTTTCCATTCATCCAAAAAACCGAATCGCAAGCTCGCTGCGAGTGTTTGAATCTAATTAAAATAGACTGTCGAGCATTGTGATTAGATGACTCGCAACAAGCTTGCGACTTGACACTCGCAATAAATGGAAAAAAGGGCTTTAAAGTGTGGGGAAATTATAGTTACTTGCGTCGGCTAAGATGTTTGTCTATTTTCCGGGGGATGCATAGCTTCAGGTACGTTTGTAAAATGAAGGGGAAAGTCCAACACGATTTTGTACATGTGCTCTCTGTGCACATTTTGTACATGTGCTCTCTGTGCACTTTATTTAAAAAATTCCTGGTTTCTGATTGGCTAACAGCCAACTGTGAAATGGTCATATCAACTCAATGGCTAACCAAATATGGATTTTTCACATTCATATTAGCAAAATGACGTGAAAGAGTCAATATGAAAAAAATTTGGACGCGTTTACCGCATATTACCATGATGACGAGAATCATATTGGCTCGCTGACGCCATTGATATGACGACGACGACGGCTGCCGAAGGACTAAGGAATTGTTTTTTTCTTAATACAAAAAAATACAAATGGATTCCGTTTGTTTTGAATTTTTTAAATAAATAATAAAGCAATTATTGAATTTGGTTTTCGCACAATATGAAGAATTATCAAGCCCTCAGTTTGCCGTTATCAACCTCAGCCTTTGGCTTCGAAACCCAGGTTGGAAACCCTGCTTTTCCGCCGATCATAAGCAATTTCTCGCCAATCATTGATCGGTGATCGGCTGTTATTTGAAGCTCTGCATACCTCCCCCATGGAGGAAATCGGAAGTTAACTCACCTACCCCCTTCGGATGTCCCAATACACTTACTATTATCAGAAACAGGTTTTTCTCCCCTCCCCCTCCGGACTGCAGAAGTTTCCTCTGTGGGGGAGTGTGGATCTTTTCTAGAACGACTCAATGCTATGCCTGCACCATTTGAATAATGCAAATATTAAAAATTTGCATACATGACCTGTTGCTATGGCTAGCTTCACCACAGAGAGTATTATAATTATACATACAAAAGCAACAAGTTATACAAGGCTTGAAGGTATTATATAAAACCACCCATGCCAAGAAAGTGGAAGTGAAATATTTAGCTGCCCTTCGACTTTGTGCAAGGTGTTTGATATTCAAACACCTTGCACATGGCGTTTGGTGGTGATATTCAAACACCTTGCACACCTTGCACCATGCATCACGGCACATTCGGCAACGCTTATTGACAATAGTTTTACCAACCATTTGACACAAAATTTATTCAGTGGAATTATTATTAATGACCTGTCAGATCATTTACCGGTCTTTGTTTATGTCTTTACAGAAACTCCTCCCCCATGTAAAAGTGCTGAAAAGACCATTCTTAGGGACTTTGGCGATAGCAATATTACCAAATTTCGTTCACATCTTACTAATGTCAATTGGGAAAATCTCCCTAATCAAGATGCAGACAGTGGGTTCGATGCTTTTCAGTATGAATTTTCTATATTATATGATCTTAGCTTTCCTTCTAAATCAGTCAGAACAAAAAAACTCGAACAAACCATTAACACCTTGGATGACAAGAGGGCTAATAACCTGTGTTAGGAAATAGAATAAACTCTATAAAAAATTCATTATTTCACGAAGTCCTGGCAAAGAAAGACAATACAAGAAATACAAAAACAAGCTTATTCATTTGATTAAGATTTCTAAGAAAACATATTATGAGAATAAATTTGAAACTGCAAAAAACGATCACAAAACAACTTGGAAGCTAATAAACGAAATAGTTAATAAACGTAGAACAAAAGCCTCACTGCCTTCCTCGTTTATATCAAATAATACTCTTCTCTCTGATCCTAAAGACATTGCTAACAGGTTTTGCAAATATTTTGCAAATATTTTGCAAATATTTTGCTAATATTTTGCAAACTATTGTAATATAAGCGAATCAGACAACAACGATACAAAACCAGACTTTTCTATTCCTCTTTTTCACGCTAGAATATCACACAATAACAATTCTAATGTCCCTGTCTCATATTACTAATGTCCTAATACCTTGTCAATCACCCCTGTGACACTTGCTACCTATTATTATTATAGTCATACATATTACACAATCCCCCTCTCTAATTGAGAGCGTCCTCGATCTCTACCTCATCTAGGTTATAGTCCTGATATCTGTCCGGTTGTCTACGCTGACGGGTGGACCTTCGTAGCGTGTTAGTCCTCTCTTGGTGGGCAGGCTGCACGATTAAATTCTCTTGATGATGAATCATCGGTTCGTTGGTCTGCAATGCGGTATGTTGGGTTTCTTTCGGGGAGCACGTGGACATGCCTTCCTCCACTCTTGGTCGGCAAGGAGCTGATTTCAGACGATTGCGGTGGACCACTTTAGATTTCCGATTTCCTGATTCGGGCTTAATGTGGTAATTTGTGCCACCAAGACGGTTTAGGACCATGTAAGGCCCGGAGCACTGCAGGTGGAACTTTCGACTAAGCCCTTTTGGAACCGCTGTGTCGTTGAGCCAATTCCGATCTCCCACCTTAAATGGCGTGCTTTTGTCAATGTTGTTGCGATCATCGTATCCCTTTTTCTGCTTCCTCTGTGCCTCACTAATCTTTTCTTTCACAAAGCGTTGCACGTCCTTCAGGGACTTCTCTAACTCATCGCAGTAGTTCGAGATAAACTGTTCCTTTGCCTCTGTCTGGGTGCCCATCAGCACTAACGGTGTGCTGGCTTCACGACCATAAACCGCTCTAAACGGTGAAACTCCTGACGATGAATGTACGCTGTTGCGGTATGCGAACAAGGCGAGAGGTAAATGAACGTCCCAATCAGTGTGGTCTTTATTCACG